ATAATTACCTAAAGAATTATAAAATTCCAAAGAGCAACCAACAAGAGCCTTAGTGTGAAATGGCCTTAGGCCTGCGCCCAAGCAACTCCATTTTAAAAGCACCAGGCATACCCACAGAGCCCTCCAGTAAGGCCTCAAACAGGTTACTTCCCCTAAACCGTGTAAAGCCCTGGCAGGCTGTCCTTGCAATCAGTAGAAGATCAGGGTAGAGACCATCAGACAGACGTTTCTGACTCCAGGGTAAATGATGTCACTGAGAAATCCCGTGGTAGCTGATAAGGATTGAAAGGGGAGTTCCAAAGCCCCCAAATTTAGTACTAATAATAGAGCTAGCTAATGAACAGGGATTCAGCCAGCCGAAACAACAAGGATGCACTCGAGCTAGAGAGCCTGATGAGGACCTGACATCCCATCACTTGTCTTTGTTTCCTGATCCTCTGGGTGATCCTCACCGCTCTCAAACTCTACCACCTGGACTTTGGTGAGAGCAGCAACTCCTCCCTATGACCCTCTCCTCAACCCGTTTTTCACTCCATGCCAGGAAAACCCTGCCTTGGCTCCAGACCTGGTGGCCATGGTCTGAGTGAGTGTGCATCTGCTAGACATAAAGCCTAAGGCTTGAGACTTTTGAACTTAGCACGCAGAGGGAATGTCTTTCATTAGCCTGTCATGATTAAATGTGTTTGCAGTGCTTAGAATTAATCTAGAATTTTTTGCTGTGAATTGATTAATCTAGAATTTTTTGCTATAAACGGATTATGTCAATTGCTGTGCCTAGCATTAAGGATTGTTGTTTTCTTGATTAAGAACCTATAGAGTGAAATTGTGTTGAGTAATTTGAGTGAATAAAGCATTGAAAGGGGCAGAAGCGCGTAGAAGTTCTTTATTTCTCCCCTCGACTGCAAACGTTGCAGTTTTGCCCCCTCACAACACTTAGGTGTTCATGTGCTTTGTTTTGAAGGAACGAATTATCTATAAGATGTATTCATAAAAGTGGCTAATATGGGCTGGGGATGTAGTTCAGTGTAGAGCCCTTGCCAAGCTGCTCCAGGCTCTGGGTTCAGTCCCTAGTACCGAGAAACAAAACAACAACGAAATTTTGCTAATGTAATTTAAAATAAGAGTGCTAGAAGATTCATAAAATTAGGCCTTTAAAAGTTCACTGGTATATTTAGATTGCTTTATTTATATTTATTAAAAAACTGATTTTATGTTGAAAATGAGGTATAGGTTTCCATACCTGTGGAATACAAAAGTGCAGACTCAGTGATTCAGTAAACATGTGTTGAATCTGGGATCCTGGACTCTGGGGGTAGAAAAATGAGAAGCTCCTAGGCCGTGAGGGACGTGACTGTCAGCCCAGCACATCCCTTGCCCTGGGATGTGAGCAGGCTGTGAACAGGGTGTGTCACAGGGCCCCAGCTGCTGCTCCTCCCTGGGTTGGCAGAAGGTGAGGGCTGACTTGGTGATCACTGGAGGGAGTGAGTGTAGGTGTGCTGGGGGCAATCATGTAATGATCTCGTAATTTGTGTAGATATTTTTTTAAGTTCTTCAGAGCTTTTTTAAAATGTTGAAAATATTATAGCTATCTCAGTCTTACACTTCTTTTTATTTGTTCTGATTAGTTATGCATGAGAGTAGAATGCACTTTATACATCATATATAGTTGGAGTATAATTTCTCATTCTTCTGGTTGTACATGATGTAAATACCACTGGCTGTATAGTTATATATGTATATAGGGTAATAATGTTTGATTCATTCTACTGTCCTCAGTCATATACTTTTTTTTTTTTTTTTTAATTTTATGAGATGCTGAGGATCGACCTCAGTGCCTCACCCATGCTACGCAAGCACTCTCCCTCTGAGCCACAACCCCAGCCCCAATCATATACTTCTTAATAAGATAATGATTATTAAATATTTTTGAAAATATGTATTCTTCAAATGAAACTCCCCCCCCCACCACATTAGTAGACTGAAACACATAACCTTTCCACTTAAGTGAATGGAGGAAATTTTATATTTCTTAGCGTGAAATGCTTGTTTACACTTGGACCCTCAGAAATGTAGGATCTTAAAAATTGAGTATATTCAGTGAGCCAGCATTGAACTTATACATTCTTGTTTTTGGTTTATCAGCATCTATTTAAATACTTAGTAATGATTTACATCTGTTACATTAAGATTTACTTTATCATTTCACTTGCTTTATCTCAGAGCTTTTAAGTCTTAATTATGACAGGATCTTCTTGTATTTTGTAACTTCTTATTTCTTGAATTCCAAACAGTTTGTGTTAAAGCCATGAGTGGAAAATCTTAGAGAAGAGGCTGTCATCCAAATACCTACTTTGAGATTCCAAATTATATTTTGTCAAAGGCTTATCTTTTGCATTTTAGTTGGAAATATCATTTCTTTCAATATGATATGTATATGGAAGAAAAATCTTTATTAGTAAATGTCACAATTGAACTGCATTTCCCTGTTCATTTTACCCAGTTGAATTAATTGTTTATACTTTCTTTAGCTTCCATTAAAGGTTGGTTTTTAAAGATTGAGCAAATTTAACTTTGAATTAATCAACCAAAATACTGAAGTTAACAGTTATTTGTAAGCCATTTCAAAGTGGGAACATTAGTTTTGTAGGGACTACAGATATGAAGTTTTTAAAAAATTTTTTTTTACGTAGTCTGTATGCTTTATTTGTTCCATTGATGTATTTATTGTGTGCTTTTTTTATTTTTTTTAAGGGTAGAGAAATTCATTGGCAAAAGTAGAAATATCTACTAGGAAAAGATGGCCTTTTATATAAAGCTTTTAGGTTCATGGTGTATTCCTAAACAAAAATAGAAAATTGTAGTATTTTAAAGCTGGCTTGGAGCCCCAAAAGTGGTGATATGTAGTATTTTTAAGCTGTGGTATGGTTAACTGCTCAGGGGTTTTTGAACAAGAAACTTGGTTTCTATACACCTCAGCTTGCTTGAGTGTAGAACCAAGGCTGGACACAGTTTTAGTCCTCTGCATACATTGAGAAACCTTAGATGATTGTGCTTGTTTTTGTGCTTCTTCTCTACCCTCAATGTGCTTGTTTGATTTTAAAATGAGGTATGTTTAGGTTTATTAAAAAATTTGAAGTGCTGTGTTTCCTGTGGATGGCACTATAATCTGTAATCTTGTGAAAACTGCTTTTTAAAAAATTTTTTACAATTTTTTTTTAGTTGTCAATGGACCTTTATTTTATTTATTGATACAGGGTGCTGAGAATCGAACCCAGTGCCTCACATGTGCCAGGCAAGCACTCTGCCACTGAGCCACAAACGCAGCCCTGAAAACTGCTTTTTAATAGCTTTTTTGCCATCAATCTTCAAAGGCTGCAGCTTAGCAGTTTCTTAGTAGATCTCTGCAAGAAAGTGAGAAAGGAGCCTTTGGATGGTTCAAGTGTTGCCTTCAGCTTGGGGGCTAGGCATGTCTCTAAAGAACCTTGGATATTCTACCCAAGGAAGTGAAACCTGAAACACTGCTACATATCTGCAGTACTTTTAAATTGAGTGTGTACACAAGGGTCCTGAAGAGGTCCTGTGCTCGTTGTTAAGGGAATGGGCTCACAATCTGGAGTCCCTCCAGTCTTAACCCTGCACAGATCAATCATTTGGTTTTATTTGTATTTACTGTATTTATTTATGCCATTGATAAACCTTATTTTAAAAATTTGGGCATATATTTATACCTATTAGATTCATGCACTATGTGGTTGTCAAAGATAGAAGAAACTTCAGTCTGAGTCGCTGACCTTTGGAACTTTATGTCACCTAGTTGCATTTTCTACAAAGATATTGCATTAATGTCCTTTCTTTTTTGTTAAGATGCTAATGAATAAAGAAAGTCCCCTGTGGATGAGCTAGATCTAAAAAGCCTTAGCTAATTCATAAGCTTGCATACTCCATGGTGACAAGGAACAAAAACAGAAAGCCCTGAATTAAAAACAAAGCAAGGGCTGGGGTTGTGGCTCAGTGGTAGAGTACTCACCTAGCATGTACAAGGCACTGGGTTTGATCCCCAGCACCACATAAAAATAAGTAAATAAAATGAAGGTATTAAAAAAAAAAAAAAGCAAAACCCACCATTAACAGTCATTCCTTTGAAGTCTTTAGAAGTGTACTGCCAGCTTCTTTAAATTATTTATCATGGATTACTTAAGACATGTAAAACTTCAGAAGGTCTAATAAAAGGAACCCTATGTCTCTACCACCTGATTTAAGAAATGCAGCTGACAGGTGGACTGGAAGCTCTCAGGGCATCAATTCCTGATGGAGATACAGAGTTCTGATCCCCAGGCCATGTTTCCCTGGTACTTACAGAATACAGTGGTAATCTTTTACTTGGTATTCAAAAGACCTGACATTCAGTGCAGTCCCCCTTCTGCCCTCCTTGCTCCATTTCACCAGCTCCTCTCTCTGGGCTTTCCCCGCAATACTGCTTGGTGTGCTTCAGCAGGACTCCAGCACTGCTGCTTCATTTGACCTTATGTTTGTGAACATTTTCCTTTTGTCCCTGGAAATCACACCTATGAAATGCACAGCTTTGCAGCTTGTAGTTCTTTAAAATATACTGTACTTTGATTATACGTGTGTTATGTTGTCATTGCAGTTGCTGTGTACGTGTCTGTCTCTTCCACTAGCTTGCAAGCTATTTGAAGGAAGAGGTATCTTTTGAAAAATTTTATATATTGCTAGCAATCAATTAATGCTTGTAGCCTTTTTCTGGAGGATGTTTATCATTCTGTTTTATGCTATGACCATTAACCTGCCCTACGTTTGTCTACTTTATAAGCATGAGCTATTTATGATCTGTGAGGCTTCTGAGAGAAATCTAATTTTCGTTAATTATGGATATATTTACAACATCACATGTTTGTCAAATTTTTCACATTGTCTTAGTTTGTATATTACAGTAGTATGTGTTTTAAAATATCAAAGTAATGTTTCTTTTTGTCTTTTAGATATTGCTATATGGAGATTTGCCAAAAAATAAAGAAAATATAATATATTTAGCAAATCATCAAAGCACAGGTTTGTATTTCATTTGCATGAGATTTAGGTTTTTCTACAAATGGTTCATGGGCATTCAAAATAATACTTTAATATATTTAAATGAAGTGGGGTCTTTTTATAGTTATTAAAACATGCATTTTTTATGCAGATTTTCTATCTGTCCTTGTATTTTTGTGATTTTACTTTTTGGAAAGTCAGTAATGTGAAAGTTCTGAATTTGTCTGTACTTCTTTGTAAATGAGTTGTTTCTTTGCTTTCCCCTATTCCTTAGAGTAACTGTTGAGACTGTCCATTCTTCTCTTTGTGAGCTGTCTGCAGGTGCAGGTGGTAGGTCAAAGTGGGTGCACCCTGTGCACTCCTAGCTGCGGCCTGCACGGTTGGGCTGGTGTGCATGCACTTGCACACTTGCTGATCATGGCCTTCTGTTCCCACTGGTCCACCTCCTTTTGCCCCTTCACATGCCTTTGTTTTAGCTCCAGCTTGCTAGTCTCTGTCAGAGAAATCACAGGAGACTGTCTCTAGTAGACTTTGAATTAGGTCAAGGTGCTTTTCAAAAGCTGTTCGTTTTTAAATAATTACCAGGAATTTGTAAAAATAGTGCATCTAGTCCCATAACCCCTTTACCAAGTCTCCCTCAATGATAACATTTTTATAAAACTGTAGCCAGTATCAAAACCAGGAAAGTGACACTGGTTAAGGCACTTTTTTCTTCAAATAATTTAGTCAAAAAACAAACAAATCTCCATATTTTTCAAACCTGTAGCTACTTTTGATACATGCTTCCTAAATTCCATTTTAATTACTTTTAGATATATAGTATGCCCAAAGCTAAAAACCATGGTAGAGCTCTCATGGAAGATCACGTATGCCCATGGCTTTCCTTTGTTTTTTCCTATCAGCTGTCCTCATGATCTTGTTGCTTTTATTACCTTAGGTAAGTGCAGAAAGTGAGAGCAGTTGAAGTGAATCTTTCTCAATTTAGCATATGAATGACTACATTCAGATGAATAGGATCAGGGCTGGAGAAACGGGTGGATAGGAATCATGACATATCTGTGTATTTTCCCCAACTTTATTAATGGGACTGGCTCAGATTATTTGATCTAATTACATTTGACTTTAGTAGAAATAACAGCCTCTTGGGATGCTGGCTTGCCCAGACACGATGCCCTTTTTTTAACCAGTAGGACAATCCTGCCATTCTTGTCCTGGTGCTGAGGAAGAATTTCTACCAGGCATCCAAATAAAAAAGACATTCATGGGTCTACCATAGGGAATGACCTATGATAGTATTATGTACCCCACGTTTTTCAATTATTATTGACTGAGTCACTAATTTAACATAGAATTTTCTTTATCAGAATTCTCTTGAAATTCCTTATTCAGTTTCCTGCCAGCTTCCCCTTTTCCGGGTTTTAGTGGAAACACTGCTTTTAACAGCTGTGGTCCTAGTACTGACAAGCAGAACACGTCCTGGGACTACTCCCGGAGGCTGTGGTGGTGGTGATGAGAATGGAAAACCCGCACTGCCATTTCCATGCTTACTCTGTTGGCCTTTCCATGCCTCCCTCCAGAGTGAGAACTTCTGGGAGAGCATTTGTGGAAACACGATACATGGAAACAGTTCTCCTTCTGTGTTGGGATTGGAATGTCGCAGGTGGCGGCATGAACTCCACACTGGGCCCACCCTAACCTGAGAGGTTCCGTTTCTCACTGTAGAGAACCATGTCCTTCTACTCCCTGCCCAAGCCCCGTGGCTTTCTTGCATTGCTTTAGCACCAGGTCCTGATACCAGGCAGCCTTTGGAATTTGGGAAGGCTACTTTTGGAATGCTTTCTAAAAATGCACAACTTGGGGACATACCAGAAGAATGAGTTTAAATTACCTTAGAATTGCAGGCTTTGGTTAGTATGTGATGGAAGGTTTGGAATCTTCCCCCAGAAAAACGGACCCATAAAATCTGCATGTAGTTTTTTGATTCCAGAGGTTCTCAAAGCCTAACCATAGACTAGGTTCCTTGGCCTCTTGTGTGTAGATGCCCTTTTGAAAACCCTTTTGAGATATTAAAAGGCACAATTAAATATCTCTGAAAATGTAATTGGCAGAAAGAACATTTCAAGGACCGCTGCTCAGTTTGGGCTTTCTAGTTCACCCTCCACGAGGCCTGCCAGAATAAATGAGTTTCCTGGCTGGCGTTCAAATAGAATTGACATGTAAATGAGTCTCCCTCATCCCTTGTTTTTACTTGGCATGCCCTTGCTGTCTCTACATTCTTAGTTTTTGTTAACTTATTTCTTACCAGTGTTACCAAAAACAAAAGTCTATTTCTTCCCCTCATTCTTCTTTAACTATCTGCTTTAAACACTATTTATCTTTAATCTCACAAATGCTCCTTTTCTGGGTTTAGGTGGCAATTTCCTTGACTAACAGCATGTGTGGTGAGTCAACTGTCATAAGTAGATGTGGCTTTGAAGTCAGGGACCCTGGTTCATGTGAGTTTGTGGGCAAATTACTTAACCTCTTGGAGGCTAGTTGTTTAGGTGTCATATCTACTGATGGAGGTTTTAGGCAGTTTACATTTAGGTTATCTCGTGATCCCAGTGGTGAATATGGCTTATGGGTGGCGTTCAACAACAGTAATGAGGATGAGAGCTAACCGTTAGCACAGTGCTGTGCCCACGGTAGCTGTGTGCTCCATGTGCTGTGTCTCTGTACAGCAGACCTTTGAGTTAGGAACTAGTGTTACAACAGATGATAGGGTTGAGGGAGATAAAAGGTGGCTGCCCCTCCTCATCCCTCCACTCTCTCCTCACGATGAGGGAGCGTGACCCTGCTTTGTTTGGTTCACTGTTGAAGAATTCTGACTTAGCCAGAATGTGAAATATGAATAGTTACTCCAAAGGTGATATGTCATTGTGTCAGTTGTAATCTAGTATTACCTATCTGAAACCTAGCTGAGAATAAACAGCGAGACAATTAAAAAGCTTATGTCTTTTGACTGCTGTAGTTAGTTGTTAAACTTTTCCATAAAAAAATTTCAAGTTTAAGGGCATAGCTCAGGGTAGGTTATTAGGATCATGACATATTTTGGAAATCTTATACCTTCTTACAACGTTCTTGGAATATGCATCCAAGTCCACAACATAACCATGCTTATTTCAAAAAATACATTTATTATTCCCTAAACTTTCAAAAATAATTGTTGTAGGAAAAGATGCCAAATCTGTTTTTTAGCTTCATACTCCCTGAATATATACCATGATGTACTTTAACCTGGGAACCATATAGAGTCATATCAAATTAGTTCTTAATATTGAATCTACTTCTAAATTTGGAACAGTTTTAACAGGCTTGGTTATGTGTTTTTAAGATGATTTCGAAGAACCATGTCTCAGTGATGGTTTATGTGATCTAAGTTAGAAGGGACTAAGGAGAGGGCTTCTAAAGAAAGTTGTGTACCTTAGAAAAAGCCATAGTTGATAGCATTACAGTTTGTGTGATAGACACAGCTGCCATTGACTGTCTAACATAGACAGAGATCTTTAGGCATCAGTATATAAGGATCCATAACAAAATTATAATATATAATTGTAAGTCTTAAAGGCATCAAAAACCAGGTAATCTGTGAGTGATAATCCCTAATTAAAAAGAGAAATTTATAATAATTGGTAAGACTTTTTCTAGAAGGTTAATTTTTAGTGTTTAAATCGCTATATCTTCAGGACAGTCTAGATAGTATGTGCGTTGTCAAAAGGATTTCACGTGACTAAGAGACTTGTAGTCTGTGGAAAACTGTCTCCTTTTGTTAAAATTTTATTGTGATTTCTTTAAATTCCAGACTTATTTCCTAGGCTTTAAAACATTTTTTTCCTTTAATTTACTCCATTTCTCATTTCCGTGGCCTTGAATATGCTTGTGATGCTAGAACTATATTCTTTTCACAGGTTCTTAACAAATGTATTTTTAAGTCTCACACCTTGAGTTCATCTGCTAATGCTAGAGTTTCCTTCACGTTTCACTTTACCCTGCCCTTCTCACCAGGAGAGGCCGTTGGCAGCCACTGACTTTCAAGTCTGGTTTCTCTGGCTCTCAAGACATTATTATTATTTGTCCCTGTCATTTCCTTTCCTCTCATCTGTTCAAAGCGCCTCCTCTGTTACCGTCTTCTGCACCCTGTTTGCTGGTCCTGTTTCTTTGCTTTGGCAAGCCCACTCCTGCGGGTCAGCGTTTCTTCTGTTTGAAGCCCAGTGCACAACTTCTTGGAAGGCTTCAGTTGCCACTCCTGTCGGCTCGCTTACGCTTTGCTCTTGGTTTCGCGACTCTTTGATAATAGCATAGCGGGGTAATGGGTTATCGGGGACCTCGTCCCTTGGTTGGTAAGGAGCACACATCTCCCTAGCCTCGTTGTAAGGCATCTGAGACCTTCTGAATGCCAGTGTGACCTAGTACTGTGTCCAGAGGCTCGTTCTTAAAGGGCCCTGGCCTTTTATTGAGCATGTGTGTCCAGAATATTTAGTCATCCTTGATAGTTTCTTTAGCATTTTCTGCTTATAATTTCCCCCTTTTTATGAAAAAAAGAAAAATATGTCTTAATTTTAAAAACTCAGCTTATTCTTTGTAAAATACTTCTGTTGAATTACTTGGTACTTTGTGATTTTTTTTTCTTTTGTCCTTGAAATAAAAAGCCTTTCAAGAATTGGAGGATAATGTAAAAGAGAAAAAAATCCCCCACAATTTAAGTTATTTAACTATCTGGGGTTTATGTAAAGTAATTTTAAACATTCTGATTATTCTCATAGCATATTCCTAACACAGTGCTGTGAAGAGGCTGTTTCTGTGGTCTCTGGGGAGGGGCGCTGGACGTACTGACAGAGTCTGTCTTTGCAGTTGACTGGGTTGTTGCTGATATTCTGGCCATCCGGCAGAATGCTCTCGGACACGTGCGCTACGTGCTGAAGGATAGGCTCAAGTGGCTTCCATTATATGGGTGTTACTTTTCTCAGGTAACTTTTCTTTCCTCTACTTTTTCCTTTACATATGGGTCAGTTAAAAAAATATATTTTAAAGTTTAACATACACTTAATATAAATATATGTGGATTTTTTGGTTCTGTTTTGTAGTGTTGGGGATTGAATGCATGTCTTCATGCATGCTGAGTAGTCGCTGTACCACTGAACTATATCCCCAGAATTTTTCTTTGGTATTTTTGATGTTGTATATGTATATACGTGTCTGATTGTCCACATAGTTAAATGAAATAGCAAAAGTACAAAAGTCAGATAGGAAACTAAAGACATAGAATTCAGTAGTCAGTTACTTTAACAAACCAATGGTAAAATTAATTATGATCTCTCAGAGATTAAGCAAAATAATGAGATAATATGTAAAGTTCTTAGCATGAGGGCATTTATTTTCTAAGGTCCTAAAGTGCAGGATCCAGGTGTGAGAGAGCGGGTTTCTGCCTAGCCTTTCTCCCTGGCTGGCAGATGACAGCACCCTCCCTGTGTCTTACGTGATCTTGTTCTGTGCACTGCATTCCTGTTGTTTATTTTCCTCAGAAGGATGCAGTCACTCTGGCTCAGCCCCCCACCCCAGGACCTTGATGTACTTATCATGATTACCCCTGTCTCCACACAGTCACCATGGAAGTTGGAGCCTCAACACCTGGGTTTTGGGGAAACAAATGTAGTCCTTACCAGTGCCACGTAAATAGCTGTAGCTGGGTCGGTTTTTCAAATCCCTAAAGGTTGTTAGTGCTGACATTTAAGGATATTTTTTAGTGATTCTGTAATGAATCAGTGGAAAATTGGAAGTTAAGATCCATCTGATAAATAGAGTTTTTGGTTTAAAGGATATATTTTTAAGAAAGAAAGGATTTTAACTACCAACAAACTAAACGTTCATATATTTTCATAGGATAGCATGCAATTTTATTGTAATAATGTTTATCTAAGTTATTTAGGTGCTAATATTTGAATGTATTAAATATACCTTAAATTGTGAAATGTGGTTTTGTTCTTTACTCTTCAGGAGCAGAGTTGCCTCTCTGATGACTGTGGCAGTTGGTTAATTTAAAAGTAAATGATTTTCCTCCCCATTTTTTCATGTGCAGCATGGAGGGATCTATGTGAAGCGAAGTGCCAAATTTAACGAAAGAGACATGAGGAGGAAGCTGCGGAGTTACGTGGACGCGGGGACCCCAGTAAGAGTGCTGTTTGTGTTTTTCCTTAGCAGCTCCTGATTACTAATCTAGGGTCAAGGTGACATTTAAGATTTGGTTTGAAAGTACACAACCATATAGGTACTAAATAATTCAGAGTTTTGTGAGGCAACAAAAACTCTCTGAATAAAAGTCAGTGATTCTTTTTAGCCATCAGAAAGGTTGCTGCAGACAATTAAGTCCTTTCCTGGTGGTTGTCAGTGTCGACCTTAAAGAGGAATAAAAAGAACATTTCATACTTTTGGAGTCTATAAATAGAAAACGGCAATGTGCTGGTAACCCTACACTTGTTCCTCGGAGCTCATCGAACTTCTGTCTTCTTTAGATCAGATTTGATACTAGAAGCAGCCACAGTTTTCTGTCAGTATAAATTTGGATTTTTCTTATACACTGAATTGTTTGAAAAACCAGGAGTATTAATATTTACATTCAATGTGAATATTATTTTCCAAAACTATGCTTAAAAAAAAAAAAAAAACCCAAGAATCTCGATCTTCTATTTGAAGAATGCCAGTTGCTGCCAAATGACTTTTCCCATGACTCCCCCTGGATCAGCAACAGGATCGCCATGACGGCTTGGGATCTGTCTTTCAGTGCATTCCAAGTGCTCCGAAACTTTGCTCAGGGGCTCAACTTCTTTTCTTTTTCTTCTTATCCCCTCTCTCCTCCTCTCCACTTGCCAGGGCTTGTGGGCAGCAGCCTGGGCTCCCGTTGAAGGGATTCTGCGAGTCAGCCGGTGAGGTACCCAGTGTGAGCATTTTCTCATAAATGTTCTCTGGGTGTTTTTGCAGTAGGAGGTGGCGTGCGGTCTGGGCAGATGGCAATGGAATGAGATGAGGGGAAGAGCGGCGCTGTGTCCTGTCATAGCGCACTCTGGAGGACAGGCATTGAGTCGAGAAGGGACTACTCAGTTTTATACAGTGTGGTGGGTTTTTGATACAGTGGGGGTCATTTTGTAGATCTCCAAAAGACAGACTAGATTGGAAATATTTATATCCACTTTTAAAAGTTTTAAATTTAAAGACATGGATTAATGTGTTAAAATGTCCATTTTTCTTTTCTCCTTATTGGCTCTACAGTTTGGTATCTATCATTAATTTTGGAAAATTTCTGTTTATTACAGGTTGAGTATCCTTGAGAACCAGAAGTGTTTCAATTTCGAATTTTTTAGATTTTGGAATTTTCCATAGGCTTTACCTGTTGAACATCTCTAATCAAAATCTGAAATGCTCCAAAATCTGAAACTTTTTGAGGAATGTCAGTATTCAAAATTTTGGATTTTGGAGCATTTTGGATTTGTGATTTTTGAATTGGGAGTGCTCAACCTGTATTTCTTTGAATATTATTGCTATCCTGTTCTCTCTCTCTTCTCTGGTTACTGGTGTGTTGGATCATTTGATGCTGTCCCACAGCTCTTGGATGCTTTACCCTGTCCCACAAATTGCCCTCCCCATTCTCATTTTTATTTCTGTCTTACAGTTTGGGTAGCTTCTGCTGATTGCCATCAAGTTCACTAGTTCTTCTTGTGGCTGTGCTCAGTCTGTACTTGAGCCAGTTAAAGGCATTCTTCATCTGTACCTGGTCCTTCCTCTCAACATTTCTCTTCGACTCTCTCTCATGATTTCCTCTTTGTACTGCACGTCTCCACTTGAGAACCTTGATTGTGCCTCTCATCCTTGCTGGCTGTTTTCCAGCATCTGCCTGAGACCAGTGCTTCTGGTGGTTCTGTGTCCAGACCCTGCTTTCACCTGCCTTTTCACACCTCCTAAGATTTTGAAAGTTGGCATCTTGGGTAGACTAGAAGGCACTGAGGCAGATCGTCCCGACACTTGGAAGTGGTCGCACCTTTCTTTTTCCCTGTGTTGGGAGTGGAGTCTGCCAGCCAGCAGTTGTATTAGGTTTGAGCTTTGCTATGTCGTGTTTTGTCTTTGGGGCTTCAGATTCCAGTAGCTTTCATTACTTTGTGCTCAGGATGGAGGGTGTCCTATTGGAGAGTTTTCCCTAAGTGTCTGTTCCATGCCCAGCTTTTACTCCGGCTCCCTCTCTCCATAGTACTCTGGAACGTGTTGCTGACCTCTGCTGATTTGGTAGAGGGAAGGAAGGAGTATTTTTGTTTTGATTCAGACTTAGGGAGGGTATGGAGGGCAGCCTTCTCTGACCCTGCCTTTGCCCCTCTGTCTGTGCCTGGATGAATCCCTGCCCTCCCTCCTCTGAGGCTTCTTTCTTCCTTCTCTTCCCCTCGCATCCTTAGTTTTCCATCCACATCTGAAGTGTAGCAGAATTTTCTTGCTCTTTTACCAGCAACTGCACAGGAGAGTGGAGGGAAGGGCCTGTGTGGGCTGGGCGGCCGTCCAGGGCTGCTTCTCTCTCCAGGGCTGTGTTGTTCTCCTCCCGACTCCAGCATTTCCCCCTTTGTCTTTCCGTGGTTTTCCCTTCCTCCTCACTTCCTTCCCTCCTTCAGGTTGTAGTGCCTGGGGCCATCGGGGGTGCTTCTGTTTTACTGGTTCACATTTGGCTTTTGAAAATCAGTAACAATTTTTTAACTAAATTTTTTTTAGTGGCCCCCGGCATTTCCTAGGTAAGCAAGTGCTGACATCTCTTGTCCCCTTTGAGCCCCTTCCTCAGTGTTTGGTGGGGGTTTCCTTGCAGCCTGTCAGCTCTTTGAAGTTGTGAATTTACACGCTGCCAGTGTTGTTGTGCTGGTGTAGGGTTAGGAGCAACCTTCTTCAGTGTTCTGCATGCTAAATTAATTCGTAATTCTGAGACAGTTGCTTAAGTTGCTGAAGCTGGCCTTGAACTTGGAATCCTCCTGCCTCAGCCTCCTAAATTGCTGGGATTACAGACATGCACCACCACACCTGGCTTTGTCATCTGTTTGATACTTTGAAAATTATGTTATATCTAGTTTTTCAAATTGTTTTTATAGGAAGGTTCATTCAGATAGTCTACTTTTTCATTGTGACTTACCAAAAGAACCTTATTGCTTTTCAAGGGCAAGAGTCTCACTTTTTATGTTCCTAGCACATAATGACTGGCGTGCTCATGTTGGAATCACCCTGTATCTGAGGTCCAATTTCTTAGAATCTAGATGAAAGCAGAGATTATACTCTTATTTGTGAAAGTTAAGTAACTGACATGGTAGAATGTATTTATCAAGTTAGCTTTCATATGGCTTAATATATCTCTTAGGAATCTATGACTACATGAGTTAGTCCTCAATATTGTTATTTAAGGGATTACAAAATTTTATTTTAAAAAAGTGCATCTGTATTACAAATTATTAAGAAATAATTTCCATAATTGTTGCTGGGACAATATTTTCATAAGGTACTTATTGGTTCTGGATGCAAATGAAACATTTATGATAAAAATAACTACATAATTTATAAAAGTCATGAAGTTAGAATTCGAGCTAGTAAATTTATATGCTTTTTCTTCCAAGTTTCTTTTGGAGTGGGAGGCAGCCTATTAGATGAGAGTACTCCTTTGGCATCAGATTTGGCTTTAAGTCCTAGGTCTGCTGTTTAGACTTTATTATTTTACCTAAGTCACTTTCTAAGCTTTGATTTCCATTTTCATTAAATCTATTAATAACTATTAATTTGTTAGCTAGTCTTAAATAGCATATTTGCAAACTACACAAATTGTCTTAGTTTCCTATTACTACTTTAACAAATAATACATACTCACCGGCTTAAAATAACACAGATTTATTATCTTAACTTTTCTAAAAATCAGCCCAAAATAGGTCTCACTGGACTGAAATCAAAGTGTTGGTGGGCTGTGGTCCTTTCTAGAGACTCTAGGGAAAATCCATGCTCCTGCCTTCCCCTGCTTTTAAAATGGCCTGCTTCCCTACCTCGTGGCTCCATCTGTCTCCACAGTGAGCTCTGGCTGGCCTGGTCTGTCCTTATGGACCATTTCTCTGGTTCTGACTTTTAAAATATATATATATATATATTTATTTTTTTGTTATAGGTGGGCACAGTATCTATTTCACTTTTATGTGGTGCTGACGTTTGAACCCAGTGCCTCCCGTGTGCTAGGCAAGCACTCTACCACTGAGCCACAACCCCAGCCCTCTGGTTCTGACTTTTGAGCCCCTTTCCTGTTCCAGGACTTTCCCCCTTTCCTGTTCAAGGACTCTCATGATTATATTAAGCCTTCTGGTTAGTTGAAGATAACTTGTTGTCTTTAGGTCCATAAGTAATCCTCATAACTCCCTCTGGCCTTGTCACACAGTACGTTGGGGGCTCCAGGGTTAGGATGTGGACCTCCCAGGGAGGGAAGGCATTATCCTGCCCACCACACTCACATATGTGTTTATGGGACCTGACCATGTTTTCTGACCATGCATATAGCACTTTCAGAGTGAAATAAATAATGAGCTCAGCGAGGAAAGAAACTATTCTGTATCCTGCCACATTTGGCAGGTTTTCCTCTTAACCGGATGATGGACTTTTGAATGACTTGAGTGTTTCTGATTGTAATTGTAAAAAACTTTAAAATGGTTTGCTAGATTAAATTAGCTTGGGGGACAGAAGGCAGAGATGAAAGAAAAGGCAGTATTCAAAGTATATAGCTAATCAATTCAGGGTTTTTAAGTTCTATAATATTGTTCCTATATAAATGTGCTTTGAAAACTATTTAGTAAACTAGAATTTCTAAAAATCAGAGGGTGAAGGAAACATTCATAAGAGCCTGCCACTTAGTGCTTAATATTTTCATGACATCCCTCTAATAATTAACTTATCCAGTGCATGGAAAAAGTCCAGTTCAGTGGTTGGTTATAGTTTAAAACTCTGATTAGAGTTGTTTTATTTTTGACTAGGTTTTTAGTGTAAATAGGTTGTTAATTTTCCATCAGAGGGTGAAACATCTCATGTTCCAAATGGTGTATCATATCTTGAAAATATATATATTTTTTTAAAATATTGAAGGTCGTCACAGGGGAGAACAGAATCTCAGGTTCTTTCAGTGAA